TGAGAGGGTGAGATGACGAGAGGGTGATAATGGGAAGGTGAGATGATGGGAAGGTGAGATGACGGGAAGGTGAGATGATAAGAAGGTTAGGTGATGGGAAGGTGAGATGGTGAGATGACGGGAAGGTGAGATAATGGGAAGGTGAGATGACGGGAAGGTGAGATGACGGGAAGGTGAGATGATGGGAAGGTGAGATGATGGGAAGGTGAGATGATGGGAAGGTGAGAGGATGGGCCAGTATGGATGAAAGAATCTGGTAGGGGGGGGGGGGGGGAGGGGGAAGGAAGTGGGTGAAGGAAGGTGGGTATAAAGCGATGAGTTGAATTGTTTCTAATGTTCTTTGTTCTCTTCTCTCTTCTCCCACCATTTGTCTTCCCTCTTCATTATCTTCTGACCCTCCCCCTCTGCTCCTCCCAGACTCTAGCTGACCTCTTAACGCAGGACATGACTTCCTCTGAGGAGGTCCTACTTATGGAGAGCTTGGAAGATTTGGGGGCATCCATCTCTGGGCCCCGACCCCGGGACACAGCCCTGCCCCAGGACTCTGCCCAGCTCCCCCCCAACCGTGCCTGGCTCCGCCTTTTCAGCGACTTCATGAGCAACCAGAAGAAGTTTCGGGGGCGCACCAAGAAATCGGGGACCTCCCGCGGATGTTTTGGGATGAAGCTGGAACGGATAGGAACCGTCAGTGGGCTGGGCTGTTAGCTACAGGTGGGGGCAACCCTCAGACTGCAGACATGCTACAGGGGATGGTCAGAGACTGCATACATGGTACAGGGGATGGTCAGAGACTGCAGACACACTACAGAAGATGGTCAGAGACTGCCGACATGGTACAGGGGATGTCAGAGACTGCAGGCATAGTACAGGAGATGGTCAGAGACTGCAGACATAGTACAGGAGATGGTCAGAGACTGCAGACATAGTACAGGAGATGGTCAGAGACTGCAGACATAGTACAGGAGATGGTCAGAGACTGCAGACATAGTACAGGAGATGGTCAGAGACTGCAGACATAGTACAGGAGATGGTCAGAGACTGCAGACATAGTACAGGAGATGGTCAGAGACTGCAGACATAGTACAGGAGATGGTCAGAGACTGCAGACATAGTACAGGAGATGGTCAGAGACTGCAGACATAGTACAGGAGATGGTCAGAGACTGCAGACATAGTACAGGAGATGGTCAGAGACTGCAGACATAGTACAGGAGATGGTCAGAGACTGCAGACATAGTACAGGAGATGGTCAGAGACTGCAGACATGATACAGGAGATGGTCAGAGACTGGAGACATGTTTTATTCTGTTCTTTATTCCTGACAATGACCCTCCCTCTCTCTTTATTAGGTCCGCTGTCCCTCCAACGAGTCCCCCGGGTGGGATGATTGATCCAGAAATAAATGAAACAGAAACAAAGAAACTTGTAAACTACAAATCCGGGTGCGGGTGCCCCTCCCCCCGGACCGACAATGTCCGCACGGCGGAGAGAAATGTTTTTGATGAATTTGCACGTTCTGTGTGAAGGATTTTTGTTGCTCCTCTTTGGACCGCGAATGGTTCAGAACTCGCCGCTTGTACGCAATGTGACGCGGGATTTTATCCTGAGACCTCAAACCCCGCCCCCTCCCCTCCGCCATCTTCTAACGAATCGCCACCGCTGCTCTACATCAGGGACGGTGCGAGAGATAAAGTGACTCCCTGACCCCGTGACCCCCTTCCTGTACTGTGTCTGAATAAAAGTCTTATTCCAAAGTCCAACCTGACTCCGCGTGTCTGTGTACGTCCGGCCAACTCCACCAAGAACCGAATCCAAACACCACATCTAGAAGGTTCCATCCGGGAGCTTTCCCGCAGGAGGTTGTGTCTCCGCCTCCCCCACAATGGAGAGATTTCTCTTTATATCCATCTCCCCCTTCCTCCATCTCCCTTCCTGCATCTCCCCTCTCCCTTCCTCCATCTCCCTTCCTCCATCTCCCCCTCTCCCTTCCTCCATCTCCCTTCCTGCATCTCCCCCTCTCCCTTCCTCCATCTCCCCATCTCCCCTCTACCTTCCTGCATCTCCCCTCTCCCTTCCTTCATCTCCCTTCCTGCATCTCCCCCTCTCCCTGCCTCCATCTCCCCTCTCCCTTCCTCCATCTCCCTTCCTGCATCTCCCCTCTCCCTTCCTGCATCTCCCCTCTCCCTTCCTCCACCTACCCTCAGTAGAAGGGAGATGGAAGCTTTCCTGGGCTCTCCGGTTCCTTCACCGTGGTACTGATATACTGGGGTATGTTCCTCCTATACTGGGGCATAGCTTCCTTCTATGTGTCACCCTGCAGGAGGAGGAGACTCATAGCCCCCTTCTGTCTGTATCACCCTGCAGGAGGAGGAGACTCATAGCCCCCTTCTGTCTGTATCACCCTGCAGGAGGAGGAGACAGCTTTTCCTCCATTCAGATCGGCTTGTTACAGGTAACATATCAGGTTAGAGGCGCCCCGAGCTGCCTGTTCTCCGGACTGTGCAACGGCTGCCGGGCTCCGGGGCCACCGGGCTGCCACAAGGAGCAGAGGGGGAGGGGCGACTTACAGTGTTGGGGAGCCAAGCTGGAGATGACGTGGTAGATGGTCAGCGGATAGGTCAGCAGGGGGCAGCCGTGGGGTCGCTGAGGCTCAGGCTCCTCCAATCATAATACTCCAGCCACGTCCCGAGAAGAGAAGCCAGGCAGCATCAACGGCAGCTTCTGATTGGTCGGCCGAGACTCCGGCACTCATTCCATTGGTCAGAAAGCGTCTCAGTCTCTACAGCCCTCTGTCATGTTACACGTCATTGGTGACGCCATAAACCTCAAGCGGCAACTTCCCATCCCCCCCACCCCTCCGGAGGACACAACGTTTTGTCATTTGTAGAATTGATACATTTCTAAACTGATACTTTGTTTCTTTTGTACACATCAAACTTTATTTCACAAACACACAGGATCCCCAGAGCACTACAGGTTAGGGTTACACTAACCCTAAGGTGAGCACGGCCCGAGCCGTTTGCTTTCAGGCACCCTGTCTCTGATTGAAACTGGGGACGCACCGATACCAGTGCCGATACTGAGTATTTGGGCGAGTATCCGTCCTCCGATACCTTTCCCGATACTAGAACTTCCGGTCAGAGGGAGATTTCCTCTGAACGTCAGTGCCGCGACGGAACGTGGAGCCGGGAAGCTGGCTCCATGCTGTTTGGCTGGCTCGAAGCTGATTGGCCAGGAAGCCGGTTTCCCAGCCAATCAGTGTCGAGCCGGCCAAACAAATCTAATACCATAGCAACACAACCCCCCCCACCCTGCCGGCACCTCATTCCCCTCACATAGATCCTCATCAGCCTTCTTTAACGTACCCGTCCCTCGGCCAGATCTGCCCACGTCTCCTGTGTGCACAGCGCTCACGTGATCGGCCCTCAGCCTGCTGCTGCGCATGCGCGGCATTTCTGAATGAGAGCGCTGTCACCCGACAGTATCAGGAGAGAGGAGGGGACCAGGCGGCATACCTTTATCCCGCCGGTTGACTGTCCTCTCCTCTCTCTCTGCCGACGTCCATCACCAAGATGGCCACCAGGAAGGTATCAAAAAGATAGCCGCGCGTGCGCGATGACGTCACGGCGGGGTGACACCCGCTAACCGCTCCGGGTGTCACCCAGCCTGGGGACGCCCCTGGATCTAGGTGAGGGGAATTAATTATCTGCGGGGTGGGGGGGTCGTGTCGCTATATGGTCAGATCTAATTGGCCGGCCTTGATACCGATTGGCTGGGGAGCCAATCAGCATCCTGCCGGCCAAACAGAATGGAGTCGGCTTCCCTGGGCAATCAAGAAGCCTTCCTGACTTCCTGATTGCCCGGCAAGACGGCTCTGTGCTACCGGAAGTACCGGTGCATCCCTAATTGAAAGCTCAGCTGGAGCTGTATGGGGTTAGAATAGTTAGAGTTGGACAGTTAGGGTTACAATTGGATAGTTGGGGTTAGAAGAGATAGGGTTACATTTATAGGGTTGGGGTTAGAAGGGTTAGAGTTGGATGGTTACGGTTGGGGTTAGAAGAGATAGGGATAGATTTATAGGGTTAGGGTTGAGGTTAGTAGGGTTTAGGGTTAGAGCTGGATGGTTAGGGTTGGAGTTAGAAGGGTTACATTTATAGGGTTAGGGTTAGAGGAAGGGTTGGGGTAAGAAGAGATAGGGAGAGATGTAAAGGGTTATTGTTGGGGTTAGATGGGTTAGGGTTAGAGTTGGACAATTAGGGTTAGAATAGTTAGGGTTAGAGTTCTAGGGTTACCAACCCAGTCTATTGGGTGGCCATGGCTTAGACCCCCAAGTCTAGCCTCAAGGGCGTGTGCTCTCAGTTTTCTATGAGTCTAGTATCCATTTCTCCTGTAGGTGGCAGTATAACCCTAGGCTGTTTATTAGCATCAAGCCATGCCCCTCAATGGACGGTTTTGTCAAGCGTTGGCCAATGGATCGATCATCAAGTAGTCGAGTATGATATATCAGTCAGTAGACCCACCTTCTGGGTTTGGGGCCATTTCCCAGGTCTGGAAGACGTTGGTGGAGTGTTGGAAGCTCTCAGAGGACCAGAAACCTCCTGTCAGGTTTAGGGAGCTCAGGAAATGCTCCTTGTCGAATGTCCGGCTCGTAGAATCTCTGGAGAGGAACCAGGAAGACAAGTAGTAAGATGGAGCACCATGCATGGGCCTTCTACCTCCAATCGGCACTCACCTCTGCTAAAGTAAAATGGATGGTCAGCTAGCTCGTTCTCCCGCTTCATGAACTGCTTCATCTTGTCGCACCAGTGTCCGTGGCTGCCGTCCTGTGGCCCTTTCCTCCAATCCTGGGCCTGACAGAGGTCCGAGCAGTAGAGAACAGCCCCACACTTGTCGCTAGGCAAAAAGAGACATTGTTAGATGGGGGTGGGGGGCCCTTCTGAATGAGCATAGACAAAGAAATGGAATAGAACACTAACAACAAAGACAAATATTCATTGTTACATTCTTCCCATATGACCGGCCGCCATATTGGGCCTCATTTGAGGGTCGACCTTGTCTGAAATGGCCCAAAGTAACCAGTCATATTCCCCTCCTTCTGATTGGCTGCTCATTGAAACTGAAGGTGATGAGGTCTTTGTGTAGGCAGGTGCGGAATGCTGACCTGCACCCCACCGGATGTGACCCTTCACCTCCCCCCCACTCCAGGTACTTCACACTTCGCCTTACCAGGGGCTGAGCGGGACCTGAAATGCCCGCCTCTTACACACGTGGCAACACTGGACTGTCTTGGCAGAGAAGAAGAATTTGGCGCTGGGGGTCCAGCCTCTGAGGGGCGTCTTCTGCACCTCAATTCCCTTGGTGGAAAGGTGCTTATCCAGAAAACTGGAGGATCATGGGAAAAAATGGGAACGCATGTAAACTGCAATGCAGGCAAACCAAAGAAAAAACAGTCCTCTCTTCCGGTCAACTATACAGAGAGCAGGAGATAAGGCTAAAATTTATACTGGTTATAATTAACCGTTCTGGTTCTTCCTCCTCCTACTCTTCCTCTTGCATGTCCTTAACTTCAGCTTGATATAGACACAACTTTCTTTACTTTGGGTCCAAGCCATGGCCACCCAATAGGCCGTGGGTTGGTAACCTTAACCATCCAACTCTAATCCGAACTCTTCTAACCCCAACCATAACCATCCAACTCTAACCCCAACTCTTCTAACTCTAACCCCAACTCTTCTAACCCCAACCATAACCATCCAACTCTAATCCGAACTCTTCTAACCCCAACCATAACCATCCAACTCTAACCCCAACTCTTCTAACCCCAAC